TTTTTTTGCTGTATGCGGGCCTCTCACTGTTGTGGCCTCTCCCGTTGCGGAGCACAGGCTCCGGACGCGCAGGCTCAGCGGCCATGGCTCACGGGCCCAGCCGCTCCGCGGCATGTGGGATCTTCCCGGGCCGGGGCACGAACCTGTGTCCCCTGCATCAGCAGGCGGACTCTCAACCACTGTGCCACCAGGGAAGCCCTGTTTCTTGTTTCTTGAGGTAGGATTTTATTGCTATAAACTTCCCTCTTAGAACTGCTTTTGCTGCATCCCATAGGTTTTGGGTCGTCGTGTTTTCATTGTCATTTGTTGCTAGTTATTGTTTTATTCCCTCTTTGATTTCTTCAGTGATCTCTTGGTTATTTAGTAGTGTATTGTTTAGCCTCCATGTGTTTGTATTTTTTACAGATGTTTTCCTGTAATTGATATCTAGTCTCATAGCATCGTGGTTGGAAAAGATACGTGATATAATTTCAGTTTTCTTAAATTTACCAAGGCTTGATTTGTGACCCAAGATATGATCTATCCTGGAGAATGTTCCATGAGCACTTGAGATGAAAGTGTATTCTGTTGTTTTTGGATGGAATGTCCTATAAATATCAAGTCCATCTTGTTTAATGTATCATTTAAAGCTTGTGTTTCCTTATTTATTTTCATTTTGGATGATCTTCTGTCCATTGGTGAAAATGAGGTGTTAAAGTCCCCTGCTATGATTGTGTTACTGTCGATTTCCCCTTTATGGCTGTTAGCATTTGCCTTATGTATTGAGGTGCTCCTGTGTTGGGTGCATAAGTATTTACAGTTGTTATATCTTCTTGGATTGATCCCTTGATCATTATGTAGTGTTCTTCTTTGTCTCTTGTAATAGTCTTTATTTTAAAGTCTATTTTGTCTGATATGAGAATTGCTACTCCTGCTTTCTTTTGATTTCCATTTGCATGGAATATCTTTTTCCATCCCCTCAGTTTCAGTCTGTATGTGTCCCTAGGTCTGAAGTGGGTCTCTTGTAGACAGCATGTATACAGGTCTTGTTTTCATATCCATTCAACCAGTCTGTGTCTTTTGGTTGGAGCATTTAATCCATTTACATTTAAGGTAGATATCAATATGTATGTTCCTATTACCATTTTCTTAATTGTTTTGGGTTTGTTATTGTAGGTCTTTTCCTTCTCTTGTGTTCATGCCTAGAGAAGTTCTTTTAGCGTTTGTTGTAAAGCTGGTTTGGTGGTGCTGAATTCTCTTAGCTTTTGCTTGTCTGCAAAGATTTTAATTTCTCTGTCAAATCTGAATGAGATCCTTGCCGGGAAGAGTAATCTTGGTGGCAGGTTTTCCTCTTTCATCACTTTAAATATGTCCTGCCAGTCCCTTCTGGCTTGCAGAGTTTCTGCTGAAAGATCAGCTGTTAACCTTATGGGGATTCCCTTGTATGTTATTTGTTGTTCTTCCCTTGCTGCTTTTAATATTTTTTCTTTGTATTTAATTTCTGATAGTTTGATTAATATGTGTCTTGGTGTGTTTCTCCTTGGGTTTATCCTGTATGGGACTCTGCACTTCCTGGACTTGATTGACTATTTCCTTCCCCATTTTAGGGAAGTTTTCAACTATAATGTCTCCAAATATTTTCTCAGTCTCGTTCTTTTTCTCTTCTTCTTCTGGGACCCCTATAATTGGAATGTTGATGCGTTTAATGTTGTCCCAGAGGTCTCTGAGACTGTCCTCAATTCTTTTCATTCTTTTTTCTTTGTTCTGCTCTGCAGTAGTTATTTCCACTATTTTATCTTCCAGGTCACTTATCCGTTCTTCTGCCTCAGTTATTCTGCTATTGATTCCTTCTAGAGAATTTTTAATTTCATTTATTGTGTTGTTCATCAGTGTTTGTTTGCTCTTTAGTTCTTCTAGTTCCTTGTTAAACATTTTTTGTATTTTCCCCATTCTATTTCCAAGATTTTGGATCATTTTTACTATCATTACTCTGAATTTTTTTTCAGGTAGACTGGCTATTTCCTCGTCATTTGTTTGGTCTGGTGGGTTTTTACCTTCTTCATCTGCTGTGTATTCCTCTGTCTTCTCATTTTGCTTAACTTACTCTGTTTGGGGTCTTCTTTTCGCAGGCTGCAGGTTCGTAGTTCATGTTGTTTTTGGTGTCTGCCCCCAGTGGCTAAGGTTCGTTCAGTGGGTTGTGTAGGCTTCGCGGTGGAGGGGACTGGTGCCTGTCTTCTGGTGGATGAGCCTGGATCTTGTCTTTCTGGTGGGCAGGTCCACGTCTGGTGGTGTGTTTTGCGGTGTGAACTTAGTATGATTTTGGGCAGCCTCTCTGCTGATGGGTGGGGTTGTGTTCCTGTCTGGCTAGTTGTTTGGCATGGGGTGTCCAGCACTGGAGCTTGCTGGTCGTTGAGTGGAGGTGGGCCTTAGCGTTGAGTTGGAGATCTCTGGGAGAGCTTTCGCCGTTTGATGTTACGTGAGCCTGTGAGGTCTCTGGTGGACCAGTGTCCTGAACCCTCCTACCTCAGAGGCACAGGTCTGACACCCAGCTGGAGCACCAAGACCCTGACAGCCACACGGCTCAGAAGAAAAGGGAGAAAAAAAGAAAGAAAAAGAAAGAGAGAGATACAGAGAGAGAGAGAGAGAGAGATTTATTAAAATTAAAAATAAATTATTAAAAATAAAAAAATGTTTAAAGTAATTTAAAAAGAAGAAGAAAACAAGAAAGAAAAGAGCAACCAAACCAAAAAACAAATCCATCAATGATAGCATGCGTTAAAATCTATACTTTAAAAAAAAAAGGACAGACAGAACCCTAGGACAAATGGTAAAAGCAAAGCTATACAGACAAAATCACACAAAGAAGCACATACACATACACACTAACAAGAGGAGAAAAAGGAAAAAATATATATATATATATCTACATATATTAAAAAAGAAGGAAGACAGCAACCAAATGAATAAACAAATCTACCAATGATAATAAGCTCTAAATACTAAACTAAGATAAACATAAAACCAGAAACAAATTAGATGCAGAAAGCAAACCCCAAGTGTACAGTTGCTCCCAAAGTCCACCCCCTCAATTTTGGGATGATTTGTTGTCTGTTCAGGTATTCCACAGATGCAGGTACATCAAGTTGATTGTGGAGCTTTAATCCGCTGCTCCTGAGGCTGCTGGGAGAGATTTCCCTTTCTCTTCTCTGTTCGCACAGCTCCCGGGGTTCAGCTTTGTATCGGCCCCGCCTCTGCATATAGGTCGCCTGAGGGCGTATCGCTCATACAGGACAGGGCTAAAGGAGCAGCTGATTAGGGGGCTCTGGCTCACTCAGGCTGGGGAGAGGGAGGGATACGGAATATGAGGTGACATTACAATAGCCTGAGGCACACCGTGTGTTCTTCCGGGGAAGTTGTCCCTGGATCACAGGACCCTGACAGTGGCGGGCTGCACAGGCTCCCGGGAGGGACGGTGTGGATAGTGACCTGTGCTTGCACACAGGCTTCTTGGTGGCAGCAGCAGCCTTTGCGTCCCATGCCCGTCTCTGGGGTTCGCGCAGATAGCTGCGGCTCGCAGCCGTCTCTGGAGCTCGCTTAGGCAGTGCTCTGAATCCCCTCTCCTCGCGCACCCCGAAACAATGGTTTCTTGCTTTTAGGCAGGTCCAGACTTTTTCTTGGACTCCCTCCCGGCTAGCTGTGGTGCACTAGCCCCCTGCAGGCTGTGTTCACGCAGCCAACCCCAGTCCTCTCCCTGCGCTCTGACCAGAGCCCCCACCCGTCCGGCGGTGAGCAGGCAAGCCTCTTGGGCTTGTGAGTGCTGGTTGGCACTGATCCTCTGTGCAGGGAATCTCCCCGCTTTGCCCTCCGCACCCCTGTGGCTGCGCTCTCCTCCATGGCTCTGAAGCTTCCCCCCTCCGCCACCCGCAGTGTCCGCCCGCGAAGGGGCTTCCTAGTGTGTGGAAACCTTTCCTCCTTCACGGCTCCCTCCCCGAGGTGCAGGTCCCGTCCCTATTCTTTTGTCTTTGTTTTTCCTTTTTTCTTTTGCCCTACCCAGGTACGTGGGGAGTTTCTTGCCTTTTGGGAAATCTGAGGTCTTCTGCCAGCGTTCAGTAGGTGTTCTGTAGGAGTTGTTCCATATGTAGATGTATTTTTGATGTCTTTGTGGAGAGGAAGGTGATCTCCGCGTCTTACTCCTCTGCCATCTTGAATGTTTCCCCGTATGTTATTCTTTAAGCCCCAAAACTTAGAATCTTAAGCTATAAAAGCATCCAGTTTTCAGTCTTTTTATACACATTATTTACAATTTCACTGTCTTTACTCTCAAGTTTCTGAGTAACTGAGTGTAACGGTAAGAAGATCTCGTTTTTACTTAGAGAAGGGAATTCATCACTGGTGACGCCGAGCCGACAGACGCAGAATCCGAATGGCACAGTGAGAACGAAGAGGAGGACAAATTGGCCGTAAGTTTTTTTTAATGAGCGCCACTTGTGTTCTGTTTCAATGCTGTTAGAAATAAGATGGTTTGGGGTGGTGATCTAGTGGTTAGGATTTTACACTTTCACTGCTGTGGCCTGGGTTAAATCCCTGGTCTGGGGAACTGATACCCCGTGCAGTGCGGCTGGTGGGGAAAAAAAAGAAATCTGGTGGTTTTCTTTTACAAAGAAAAGAACTCCTAACAGTAGGTGCGGCTTCAGCCTTAGGATGTTTAGATTTCTTTATGACAGTGAAACTGGACAGCTCGGTTCTGTTAGTTAATGTGGTGAGCCAGACACAGTCCCCTTTTTCAGCCGTCTGTGGCACCTCTACACAGTGGTACAGTGAGATAAGGGATCAGGGGAGTGGAGATTAAAACATCAGAAAAAGTCTTAGTCGAGAGAAAGCAAAAACCCTCAAGGAGAGCACAGCTGTGTCTGTAGAAGGGCAGATACTAGAGGGTGGGCGGTGGTGGGGAGAGCATACTGGAAACATCCGTGCCATCCTGCTCGGGGACCAGCAGTGACAGTGAAGTAGCCCCAGTGCATCTCGCCACCTTACATTGGTAAATGGTCCTTTTGGTGATGTGCCCTGTCCATCACCTGCTTGCAGCCTTTTTTTTGGTGATGGGTGTCATTCCAGTGCCACGGAAAGTCCCAAAACGACAAGGTGAACTTTGTTGACCTGATTTTACATTTGGGAGTGGCTTTTCTATCCTATAGTATAAACTTCTGGGGTTTTTTTGTTTTTGTTTTTTAAGTGTATGTTAGTTTTGGTAGCTATACATCTTTCTGATCTTTTAAAAACATGTAGAATCTGGCGTAGTTGAAGCCATGCCTGTGGATCAATATAGTTGTGAATCAGTTTTTCATTGTGTGAGGAAAATCTGCCCCTGTTAACTTAAAAAGCCCCTTGTGATCATGTCCTTCTAAGAATCACATGTCAGGCCTGTGATGTTAGAAAAGACTGCCCTCCTCGTGGCTACATCGCCTTTCTCGTCACCCCCCTGATGTTCGCATGGTGCCTCTGTCCCAACATCTCCGTATCATTGGACGTGCAGCTTGCGGGGCAGTTTCTTGTTGCTGGAGATCCTGGAGTATCCCTCTGGTGGTTATCCCAGGAGGGACAGCGAGCCAGCGCCCCCCAAGTCAGGGGGGCATTGTATCAGCTCTTCAGCTCTTTTCCCCTTGGTCTGGAGTTACATCTGGCTGGAATGCCTTAAATGCTTTGTTCCTCAGAGACGTTGGAAACTGTGATGGGCACAGTGGTCTTGGAGATGCAGTTTCAAAGAGCAAGGGTTTTTGATAGAAGTTTACATGGGATTCTGAAAATATGGTCTGTATTAAGCCATTCAGTTATTTGTAAAGTTGTTGCTTCATGATAAGTATCCAATTTTGCATCTTATTTTTCTAGGGAGACATAAAAAATAAAGCAGTCATAGCGGAAAAAGAAGCAGCAGCAGCAGAAGAGCCAAACCCAAAAGGAATTCCAGAGTTCTGGTTTACCATCTTCAGAAATGTAGATATGCTAAGTGAATTAGTTCAGGTAAGCACACAGGCACATTCCCACTTTAGAGAAGACATTATTTATTTGTGAACTTTCAACCGCATGTCTAGCAGTTGTTGACTATGGGTGGAAAGGTGCCTTCTGTGACCATAACTCAGGGGAGTCAGGGTCCCCGGGAGGCCTGGCTGCAGCTGGAGCCCCCGTGTGCCCTCGTGTAGCGGCCCTCACGGAAAGGCCTGCCACGCGGAACCTCAGCCGAGCTTAGGGTCGCTTTGTCTCCTGTAAAGTGTCTGTTGTCTCACCCCAGGAAGCTTGTTAACAGATTCCAGACCCTTCTCTACCTCACAGTGATGTGGACAAGCGAGAAGCGTGAGGGCGAGGGGTGAGAGTGGAGGAGTTGATACTGAGCGGTGAAGTGTGCGTGCGTGCGTGTGTGTGTACACATGTACCCATGAGCACGTTTACACACAGGCGCACGCTCGCTGGCACGCAGTCTTCTGTTTTGATTGATTTTTGAAATTTGAAATGGACCTATTGTGCCGCCTTGCTAGTTGTACAAGTATTTAACAAGTTGCTAATAATTTCTAATCATTTTCCTTGAAAAAGTCTTTTTTTTTTTAATGGGAATGGTCAAACTTTCTTTGTCTTGCCTTGTTGAGCTTTCTCTAATGAAATGGTGAACCAATTAAAAGGTAACAAATGTGACTTTCCCTGAGCTCAGTTATGGTAGAAGTTTCCAGAATTCAGAAATAGGTACTGCTCAGAAGTCCACAGAGGGGGCCATCTCTGCATTTGGACTTACTCCAGACGGGCCAGCGCAGCGCTCTCATATCAGAGCACGGCCACAGGTGGCGTGCAGCTAGCTCGCTCTGCCGCAGTTTGCAGAGGTTTCACAGCTGCAGTCAGAATGGTTCCAGAGAGCTGCTGCGTTGCTGTGTCTGCTGCCTGCCTTGCTCAGTGCTTATCTGTAAGCCAGAACTGAAGAAAAGGTGGAGGGGATGCGTTTCTTACTCCCCTTCCAGACGGGGGGAACATTTAAAATACATGACTTAACAATAGCCTGTGTTTTCTTGTCTCATGTGAAAAGGTGCGGTTTAAGAATACTAGACCGTTGGGAATTCCCGGCGGTCCAGTGGTTAGGACTTGGCCCTTTTACTGCCAGGGCCCGGGCTCAGTCCTTGGTTCAGGAACTAAGATCCCATAAGCCGAGTGGCATGGCCAAAAAAAAGAAAAGAAAGAAAGCATACTAGACCAAGAATACTAGAAGACTAGAACGCCATGAGCCAGAAATTTATTGGGAAAATTGAGTAATATATGCTAGAACCAGATTCACCCTGCCTATAGGTTAGTCACTTGGGCAACTTTTAAAACTAAATAGCAGCATCAGTGCCTCCCCACCCACAGGTCAGCGAGAGTTTGAGGTGTTTGTAGAAGCTCTCATGATTCCGATGTACCCCCAAGGGTTGAAAATCCCCATGCCGGCAGACCAGATGGAGAAGGGTGTGTGTGCCTGTCACCGGGACGTCTCGTGGAAGTGCAGGCTCTGAGTCAGGTCTGGGTGGGGCCTGAGGATCTTGGTTCCTGATGTGTCCCCCAGGTGATGCCCATGCTGCAGGTTGGGGGCACACTGTGAGTGGTGGCAGGGGTGTCACGAGGTAGGCTTTTTGGTGCTGGTTAGGCGACTTGATTGGGAGACCTAGCTCCTGGTGTTGCCTGGCCAACCAGTTAGTAACCCAGGGATGGCGCTGCTGCTTCATCTGTAGCATTTCTTTGGTTTCAAGTACGGTCAGCTGTACTTGAATGAGGTGTCTCTTCCGTTCTCCCAGCACCTCTGTCTTAGTATCAGTGCTTCAGTATTTATGCCACAGAGTGTCTCGCTGCTTTTTGTCTTACGGTTGTAAAAAGACGTGTCATTTTTTGAGTACTCATGTAGTATGCAGAGAGTGATGAAATCTGGTTTGGGCTCTTTATAACCTGAAGCAAGTAATGGTAGTAGGTTCCATTTTGGTCAGACATTAAATCCCAAAGGTGGGTTTGGCTGTAGGTCCTTGGGTTCTCTGTTGGTGGTGGCCAAGATAGGTCCAAAAGCAGAGTTTTGAAACTTAGGGAGAGCAGCTTTAAGTCAGTCCCTGAGTTGCTTCCACTGTTGGCCCTGAGTTTTGAGCCTGCTAACTTAGGGCTTTCCGTTGTGGTCTGGGCCACAGAAGGTCCTTGGCCCTCAAGGCATGAGGTTGTTGGAGGAGATCAAGAGCATCATGGCCGTCTCCTGGCTATGGGGCGGCACCCGTGGTGCTGCTAGCTTGACTGCAGTGGGCTTGAAGGTCCCAGTGCCGTGTACTTGGAAAACATACTGGTGGTGATTCTAGAACTAGGCGTACGTGCTCAGTCACTGATACACGTGATCTCGGAGCCAAGTGTTTTCTGGCTCTAGAATTTAGGATTTGACATCTCAGACTGATGTGGCCTTTGAAAACTGCTTTGGACTTAACTTTCTGTCTAGAGACTTGGAAGGTGCCTTTGTTACTGCTTTTTTTTGGGTTTGTTCTATGCAGGCGGACCTCGGAGACATTGTGGGTTTGGTTCCAGACCCCTGCAACAAAGTGAATGTAGCATTAAAGTGAGTCACATGAATTTTTTGGTTCCCCGGTGCGTCATAAAAGTTAGGTTTACACTATACTGTAATCTACTAAGTGTGCGATAGCATTATGTCTCAAAAATGTACGTACCTTAATTTAAAAATACTTCGTTGCTAAAAAATCCTAACCATTGTCTGACAACGCAGGGTTGTCACAAACCTTCAATTTGCAACAAGAACAACAACAAAAAACCCCCCCAAAACCCCACCAAAATATCTGTGAAGCACAGTAAAGTGAAGTGCATTAAACGAGGTCTGCTTGTGATGTAGAAAGAATTTAAAATTGGGAAGTTGGCAGTTAGCAGGCTCAGCGGAACCTCAGGAAATCCTTTCGGTCCAGTCCCCAGACTTCCAGGGTGAAGTGACTGTTTCACAAATAAAGCACCTCTCGTGAGTATGTGGTCACTGGGTTTCAGGTCCTGTGATTTTTTTTTTCCTGAGTTTTTCTCAGTTGGCCTTTCTCAAACGACAGGCCCTGGTGAACTTCTGTGTTTGCATAACGATGACTCGTAAAGGCATAGAGCCATCGTTAGAGGCTCTTCCGTAGTGCCTGCCATTAGGTCTCAGACTTGCTTTGTGAGTGTCCTTGACTGTGTGTGTTGCTGGATTTGGGCTATTTATCACCACGTGCCCTAAGCGGGGGGAACTGGCTGCCAAGGTCAGTAGCTTGTCCAGGTATTTCTTCTGATTCTGTCTCTTAGGAGATGCTGAGGACCAGCAGTCTTAATTGACGGCATTTCCGACCCTGTCTATACTGGCAGCTGGTGGGGCTGTGAAATCAGTCAGGGCTCTTGCCCCTGGCAATGAGCGCGATGCCCTTCTGGCTTGGCATTGGTGGTTACCAGTGGTCCGTGCCAGACAAAGGTGGCACCTCATTGCTGCCACCCTAAGACTGCTAGTGACTGAACAAATTTGGGTGGCTTCCTGCGAGTGACAAGGACAGAATTCCAACAGGGCTAATTATCCAGTGTCTAGGAGTAGGTGCAACAGTGACTCAGTGCGAACATGTGTGTTGTCTGTAAAAGCTCAGCAGAACTTTCTTTTCTTCTCTTCATGGTTAGGAATATGATGAGCCAATCCTGAAGCACCTGCAGGACATCAAAGTGAAATTTTCAGACCCTGGACAGCCTATGGTGAGTACTGATTGTTTGAACTCCTGGCTGGTGTCAGAAAGGGTCAGGCCACTAAGGGTAAAGGGCTTAGAGCCAGAAATCCACACCCGGCCATTCACTTGCTGGGTGACTGGAGTGCGACGTGTGTTCTCACATTGCATCCCTGGGCCTCACCCGGCAGTGTGCACAGCCGGACAGTAACTCAGTCCACCAGCTGTTCGGGGGCAGGCGCAGGAGTCAGGCACAGGAGGGGACTCCTCCGACGTGGCCTCCACTGTGCCATGCTGTGGCTTCTGGGCTAGTTTGTTTCCTCTGTCAGATGGGGCGATGTCCTCCTTCTCCTAAGCGTCTCCCAGGTTTGTGAGGGTGGAATGTATGTAAAACAGGCTGCAAAGGATGGTTGGTACGTATTCAAATATAAGCAGCACTTTAACAGAAATCCAATATACTAGTGAAGGAAATGTACTAGGTTTTACCTTCAAGAATCACTGCGGATAGATAAGACTGAAAAAATGTTTCCCTGCTCTTTGATTTGTCTGGAAACACATCTATCCAGAATACTTGCTCTCGTAGGCTGCCTACCAGTTAGTGAGGGGAGTTTGACCTAAGCCAGCCTGTCCTTTTCTGTGAAGCAGCCTTGAGACGGTGATGCCTGAGCTGGGGTCCTCGGGGAGCACTGTTCGTGACCTCCCAGTCTGCCTGTGGCTGGTGGGTTCCATTCCAGTGCCACAGCAATTCCAGCACCACACAACTGCCTGCCTGCCTGGTGGCTCTTGGTTTCAGGTTTTGAAGACACAGTGCCTGAGGGCCGTGGGGCTGAGGCCCGGTCTCTTCCCACTTCCCCACCACAGAGCAGTGTGAGCGGGATTCCCTCTACCCTGGCCTGCGGGTGATGCCTGCTGGGGGCAAGGGGTGGGGGCACACACACCTGTATCTGTCCCTTTCCTGGTCTGCTCCACTCTAGAGGTGACATTCACACATCCCTCCGCAGCAGGTGGGGTGTGGACACCAGCCAGAGTGATGCCTGCTCACAGGTTGGGGGTCACTCTGGTAGCTGAGGGAGCCCTTTCTTTCCTACGGCACCCAGGTTATTGCAGCGCCTTCCTCTTGTCAGTTTCTTCCCAGTAATCGCTCCTCACCTGTGCGAGGCTTGGCCACAGCATCCCCTAGGGGCCTCCTGTGGCAGAGTGCTGTAGTTTGCTGTGATGGGTGTGAATTCTCTTTTCGTGTGTGTGTGTGTGTGTGTGTGTGTGTGTGTGTGTGTTGCGCACGCGCACACGCACGCACCTGTTCGATGATTTCCTTGGTCCATTCCCTTTCTTCCTCAGCCCATCTGTCTTATATTTTCCTCGGTCTCTTCTGTGGCCCATAGACAGGCTGGAGCCCTAGCTGTGGTAGACTAAGTCATTGTGAAAGTCATACGTGCTTGCATAAGAAAAGTTAGAAAGTATAGAGAAGTGTACAGAACGCTGTGCACTCTTTTAGAGATAACTGTCAGCAGCTTAGTGAATTTACCCATAGTCTCTGCGCTTTTTAAAATTGTTATGAAACGGGGTCTTCCCTGCCTGCCAGTACAGGGGACACGGGTTCGAGCCCTGGTCCGGGAGGATCCCACATGCCATGGAGCAACTAAGCCCATGCACCACAACTATTGACCCTGTGCTCTAGAGCCTGCGAGCCACAACTACTGAGCCTGCTCTCTAGGGCCCGCGAGCCACAACTACTGAGCCCCTGTGCCACAACTACTGAGCCTGTGAGCCTAGAACCTATGCTCCTCAACGAGAAGCCACCGCAATGAGAAGCCCGCGCACCACAACCAAGAGCATCCCCCACTCGCCGCAACTAGAGAAAGCCCGCACAGCAACAGAGACCCAACGCAGCAATCAATCAGTCAATCAACAAATAAATAAAATGTCTAAAGAAAATAAAATGAAACCACTTTACTTCAGAGGGAAACACAGCCAGGGTGTTTGCCCCTCCCCAGGGTCACTCTCCAGGGTCACCATGTTTGTACCTCAGCAAAGTGGAATCCCAGTGTGTGGACAGTGTTGCACTGCTCTCTTCACCTCACGTAGGCCCTACGGGGTGGAAAATAGTTGCTGCATCTGTTGGCTATAAAAAGGTTCAACAGGGCTTCCGTGGTGGCGCAGTGGTTGAGAGTCCGCCTGCCGATGTGGGGGACGCAGGTTCGTGCCCCGGTCCGGGAAGATCCCACATGCCGCGGAGCGGCTGGGCCCGTGAGCCATGGCCGCTGAGCCTGCGCGTCCGGAGCCTGTGCTCCGCAACGGGAGAGGCCACAGCGGTGAGAGGCCCGCGTACCGCAAAAAAAAAAAAAAAAAAAAGGTCAAGGTTCAACATTCCCCAGAATATGCCACTGCCACCACCACCCCGTTATAAATTGTTGCGTTATGATCAGCTTACTTGTGCCCCAGGCTTTTGTTTAAATTTCTGATGATTTCCTCAGTTTAGGTTCCTTTTAGTGTATAATTACTGGGTCGAAGGAGACAAACCTTTATAAGTCCCAAAGGTGGTTCAATTTACACTCCTGATGATGCTAGTGGTATCTTTTTACACTTTTCTTTTTGTAATAATAACATTTCTTGGTTTCTTTCTATGTTGAAATAATTTCAAGCTTAGAGCAGCACTGCAGCAACAGTACAGAGAATCCCCGTATGTCGTTTGCCTGGACATGAGTTGTCTGCTTTGACCACATGGGCAGCATTGCCTGGGGACCGCCTCCTCGCTGCTCAGCACAAGTGTCGGCAAAGACAGTAGCAGCCGTGTTTACTTTGCTGGGCAGAAGAGATGGAATTTTACACTTAATTGCGAGTGTGGCTGGGCATTTGTCATATGTTCATGGCTGACTTGGCTGTGGCGGGGTGTGAATGAGGTCGCCTCGTCCTTGGGCCCTTTTCTGTTGGACTGTTAGACACTTTCTTTAAATCATCCCCAGTTGTGTTTGACTCATTCTTGACTAAACAGAGGCCTAGGGAAAGAAGGAAAAGTAGGAAAATATGAAGAAAGGAAGTAGCACCCTTGGTTTGGAGAAATGGCAGGAGAAGGAAATGGGGAGAGAGAGAGGAAGATAAATAATTCTGTCCATATCTATATGGACGTAATGAAGGACGGAATAAAACAGTGCCATTCGTTAGCCCAGCCCAGTCCCCAAGGTGGGTCATCCACATCTGTGGTCACCACCCTCAACAGTTCTCAAGTAATAGCAGTCTCCACTGACTGAAGTCCAAGATAAAGATCGGGTTTATGGGGCCTGGGGTCAGGTCCAGGAGAGCCGTGGGGAGGGATTCCGCCGATGTTCTGATTCCCCATAGCTGCCTTCCTGTCCTCACTGCACTTTGGTTTTGCCAGCCTAGTGACTTGTGGGTGTTGACCTCCCTTCCCCTCCAGCCCACACCACGCTGGCAGGGGTCAGTGGAGACCTGGCCAGATCCCTGCCATCCCTTCTGAACACTGACAGGACTGCTTCCAATCCTCTTGGCCACTTGTGTCTGTACTTCCCAGGCCCTTGTGGCCCTTCTCTTCCTCATCCCCCTCTTGGGGGAGTTCTTATTTCACTTCCCCTTGTGGAAGTGGCTTGTTTTTAGTCTTCTTAATTTTTTTCTCAACTGATGGTTGTACCATTACAATAAAAATAGAAATAGCTAACATTTAGCAAGTAATGCCTGTAAACCTGGCCCTGTTCTAAGTGCTTCCATAGATTAATCCTCAAGTGAACTCATGGAGAGAAAGGGTTGTTTATTCCATTTTGCAGGTAAGAAAACGAAAGCATAGGGACGTGGAATAGCTTCCCAGAATCACGCAGCACTGACAGGCAGAGGCTGGCCAGCCCCAGAGCCGGTCCTTTAGACTGTTGCTTACTTCCCCCAGGTTGTCTTGTCAGAAGGGCTGAGGTCAGTATCTTTGCACATGCTGCTGCATCCATCCAGGTGTCTTTCTGAAATAGGACACATTCCTCAAAACAGAATTATTGGCTCCCAGAATGTTTTTTATTTTGTTAATTTTTTGATATTGCCCAATTGCCCTTCACAAAGCCCTTTACAGTATATGAGTGCCCCTGGCTTCCCAAAACACTTGCCAGTACCATGTGTTCTTTGGACATTTTGCACAGAAAGGGGGCGTCTCATTTTATTTTTCATCTATTTTGTTACTGTGCACACGAATATCTTCTGATTTGTTACTACTGCTCTGTACACCCGTTTGTCCATTCCTCCCGTGCCTGTCTGTAGGTCTGAAGAGTGCTTTGTGAGTGAAGGGTGAACTTGTCCTTGGTGTGGTTTGAAGAGGTCCAGTCAGTGCCTCCCCTTCTCTCCCCACGTGGAGTCTTGGCCCTTTCGCTGCGCGGCAGAGAAGGAGCTGCTCTGCCCAAGAGAAAGGAGAGGGGGACAGGGTTCTGCTGCCGCCTTCTGCCTCCAGACCCCCGCCCTGCTGTGCTCTCGGGGAAGGGAGGGTGGGGCGGCAGGGAGAAGCCACACTCCTCAGGAGAGCTTGTCCTCCCTGGGAGGGGAGGTGGCGGGGCCCGAAGGGTGACGGGTATTTGCCCGCCTGCTGCCCTGCTTTAACTCTGTGCTGGTGCTTTTGCAGTCAGCAAGTTCTTATGTGGCAACACCTGTTGAGCTTTTCAGTCATGGTTTCTGCCTGTGGTGTCATGCTTAGGGAAGAGCTGGGTTCCAGGAAGTACTGTGTGATTCATAAAGTCGGTCGCTAATTAGTCATAGATTTTAAGTGGTGCTTAGCCCAGTTTCTGTCTTTTTTTCCAGTCTTTTGTATTAGAGTTCCACTTTGAATCCAACGACTACTTTACCAATTCAGTCCTGACAAAAACGTACAAGATGAAGTCAGAGCCAGATAAGGCCGATCCCTTTTCCTTTGAAGGTCCTGAAATAGTTGACTGTGACGGGTAAGGAAATGCCATTGCAACTTCTTTTTCTGAAACCAAAGCAGGAGGTGGTTTTACAACTTTACAAGTAAGATGGAAGTTAGGAATAAAGCAGAAAGCCTTTAATCTGTTTAAAAGCCCAAAAGACAAAGATGGAAATTAAAGAGTCTCTCTGGGAATATGATGACTGGCGCTGGGAAATGTATCATGTGGTTACGTGGGCCAGGGTTTGGGGTGGTGGCCCGATTTCCTCGTTTTAATGAGGGCATTGGGATCTCCAGTCACCGTAAGTGAAGCAGTGATCATTGAACTGATAAATTGCTCTCAGCGGGTATTTGTCGAGTGAGTGAATGAGTCAGCGCAGCGCAGCGCTGGCCGCGGTGAGGCAGCATGAGCGTGGTTGGCCTCAGGGCTGAGCGCCTTGGTGATTGCAGCCTGCGGACCACCAGGGAGGGTGGCCTGGAGTTCACTCCTCTTGGGTGGTTTGAGACGGTTTGGGAAATTGTTTTGTTCTTGATTGAAACAGTTATCCTTATTCACTGAACCAAGTACTTATCCTGATGAATCTCCCTGTGTGAGTAATACAGAACTCTCTTAAAATCCTGCTAGACTGAAATGGCCAGAGTAATGTAGATTGTTTCCCACGGCCAGGCCATCGGGTGAGAAGGCCTGCCTTTCCAGGCATGTCCTTGAGCAGACGCTGTTCAGACACTGCCAGGGCTTACCTGTTGGTCCAGGGTGATTCAGAGTGCTGTCCCCACCAAGGGCCGCGCAGCACACTTGGAACATTGTGTCTTGCTCCGGTCACCAGTGTTTGCGGTAGCCACCTGCTTGCTTTCTCCAACTTGTCCCACTCGCTTAGCTAGTTGTCTTGAGAATTCAGGCGCCTGAGTGGGTGGCTTCCTGTGCGCTGTGGGGTCTGCGACGGGGCAGCAGGTGACAAGCCCTTGAGCGGGCGTGGTCACGGGAAGAATGTTGGAGGACCCCTGCGAAACGTCTGGGGGTTAAAGCTGTGCAGCTCCGGGAGCTGCCGCGCTGACAGCCTGCCTGGCGGGGCCCTCCGCCTTCACTGGCCTTCGCGTGAGCTCACCGTGTGCCGAGTGCTCGCTCACAGGTTGTTAAGTTGTTTTGGGGTTAAGCACAGAGCTGTGATTTGCTTGCTGGACACACGTGTGACCAGTTTTTCTCATGGAGTGTGTACCCCCGTGATCACGGTCTTGTCCCTGTAGGTGTACCATTGACTGGAAGAAAGGAAAAAATGTAACAGTCAAAACCATCAAGAAAAAGCAGAAACATAAGGGCCGAGGCACCGTCAGAACAATCACCAAACAAGTCCCCAACGATTCCTTTTTCAACTTCTTCAGTCCGCTGAAAGGTGAGTGGGCTGGGTGGTGACTCCAGGTTACACACAGAATGACTGTTAACATCAGGAAGGCGGTTCTGGTCCTCTGGCGAGCGTTGGGGGGCGGAGCCGTGGCTGTGCGGGCGGGCCCACGGGTGCCTGTCCTGGCAGGAGGGTGAGCCTGGGCAGCTGGCGGAGCTGCATGCCCCCGCCCCCAGGGGGAGGGCTCCGCGTGGCTGCTCTGCTCCCACCCCTACAGCCTGCAGGGCGTCGGCCCACCCCTCCCTCTCCCCGCCCTCTCAGGTGGGTTTTTGGTTTTTTCTTCGAGCCTTGGTATAGAGCTCAGGGGTTTGGGAACTTACATATTGTGACAAACACAGACTTAGGACAGAATCATAGCTTGGACGCTTGTTCTCTGCTCCCTGCTCCCACCCTCCAGTAAAAGAGAGATGGCAGTAGTAATGGCTCAGCCGCTGGTTTTGAGGAAAATTACTTGGAAGTCTTTACATAATTTCCTAATCCTGAGAATTCGAAGACCAGACCCGCTGGCAGCATTAAAATATGGATATGAGGGGAAAACATTTTCTCTTTATTTTCCGTGAACAAAAAACAGTTGGAGGTAAATGTCGGCTCTGACCTAGGTCGTTGGTGGCCCTTTGGGTTGTTTGTCGGGGCCACGGCATGGCTTCCGTCTTCACTCTGACTCTTGCGCCGAGTTACCAAGCTGCCCGTCACCGTGCAGTCCATTGTCTTTCACTCCTGTGGCTATTTTCCGTGACTTGTCTTCGAACCTGGAAGATGCCGATGTATATCAGTTTTGGGGACAAGAACAGCCATAAATGTAGTTCTTAAATTTCCTTTTTCGGGAAGATCCCTTTCAGAGCCTCACATATGGGAGGCTTCCTGTGTGAATTCACCGTGAAGCAAAGGGGCTTTGATTCCTAAATTCAGTGGCTTTTTTGGATGTTTTAAATAATAACAATTAAAATGGAATCAAGTGGATTCAGGAATTTGGGGGTGATTTGGGGGCTCTAAAACTGTGTTGTGGTTGCACAAGTCTAAACACGTAGGAGAAGCCATTGGGTTGTGCACTTAGAGTGGGTGGATCCTATGGTATATCACTGTCTTTAAGGTAACTGAATAAACATAATATCAAGTGATATGCTCTGTGAAAAGGAATAGAGGATGACAGTGGGGGAGGGGTGGTGGAGTGGTCAAGGAAAAAAACCCAAACTGCTGAAACGCTTTTTGAAATGAAGGAAATAAAAGATGGCTAGTCCAGCAACCTGTTTGGCTTTAATCCTACAAACTGGCCCAGAAGTCAGGTGAGGAAGTCCTTGCTGTGATTGTTGCCGCCCCTGAGTCCAGAGGCCCCGAGGCTGCATCTTAAACAGCAGGTGGGGCTCTTACACGCCGAGGCTCGGGCCCCCCACCGCCCACGGGGAGGGGTGCTCACACCAGCACCCGCTCCGCCGTGGCTGAGATGGCGCGTGCCCCTGTCTGTGCTGGCCACGGAGACAGACCTTGCAGCAGAGGGGCGACAGGGAAGACACAAAGGCAGGGTGAGCCCGGCAAAGGGGACGCGACGCCTGGCGAAGCGCCACTGGGCTTCACTGAGCGTGGTTTTAAGGCTGTGTTTTCCTGGTTCCGTGTTGGGCTGTAGTTCGGCACCGAGGTCTGTAGGGCCGTGGGTGCTGGAACCGAATCTCAGCTCACCTTTTGTGTGGAGCGCGGGCCTCTGCCGTGGGTGTCGGTGAGTGACGTCGCCCTGCGTGCTGCAGTGTTTGCGGGAGGAGCGGCTCCGCACTACCTTCTCCTTCCCCTTCGCAAGCAAGCAGGGATGCAGCTTCCGCCTAGCTGAGATGCAGCGCCTCAGTCGCACTGAGGACTTACAGCCTTAAAGTGCTTCCTGTTCCTCTACCGAAGCGTCGCTTGTAGTTTTGTAGGACACGGGTTAAAACTCCGCTTAAAACAAAAATGCCCTGAACGGCCACAGTCTGGGCAACCGGTTCACCTTTCCATCTGCTGATGCTTTAAACGTCCGTAAATTCTCTTCTGAAAGTGGCCTTCTCCAGCTGGGCCTGTGAGCATTACTGGGTACCGGCCTTTGGCCCTTGATTGGGGGTGGGGGGAGGGAAGGGGGCCTGGCGGTGCTGGGGCCACAGCTTCAGCCTGCAGCAGGCGGGGGAGTGGGGAGCCGGCCAAGGGGAGGCACAACGCTTAGGCAATTTCTAGTGAGCTGTTCCATTTTATTTGTCAGCTGAGCTTCCTGTGTGGGCTTTAGAAGGCTTTGGTTGTCGATGTAATGCAGATGTGTTCTGTCTTTTTTTCTAGCATCAGGGGATGGAGAATCACTGGTAAGTTGTGTGTCATTATCAAAAAAGTATGTTGTTTTGCTGTTAAGGTCCTTATTTCCTGAGTAGTTTGCTACTTTCTTTTTAATCTGTTCTTACTGCCTAAAAACCAAGGGTGAATTTGTATTCGCTGCACCGTGGGGGTGGGATGGCAGCGCGCGTGCCGCGGGTGGACCTGAGGGCAGGCGTCTCCTTGAGCCTCACCCCCGCGCACGTGGCTCTGGGCCCTACGCTTTCCTGCCATTTGGCTGCAAGGGTTCCTTCAATGCAGCCTCACCTCAGAGATGCCTGTCACCCAGCAGTGCCCGCACTGGGTGTGTTATAAGCCGAGTCACTGGCAGTGGGGGGTCAGGCGTGGGCAAGGGAGTGTGACGTTTACCCCACTGCAGCAAGGTAGCACTGCGCTGTTCCCCTCAGGATGAAGACTCCGAATTCACGTTAGCCTCCGACTTTGAGATTGGACACTTCTTCCGTGAGCGGATCGTGCCGCGCGCCGTGCTCTACTTCACGGGCGAGGCCATCGAGGACGACGACAACGTAGGTGGCCTGTGGGAGCCGCTGGGGTCAGAGCGGGTGCTGGCTTGGGAAGCCCAGCCGAGATTTTCATGACATCCTCCACCAGGTCCACGGGGCACTGCCCTCTGGAGTTTGGAGGAAATAGACTGGGCAGGGAGATGGCAGAGGCGGGAGAAGCAGGTCTCTCTGAGGCATCTGAGCACCACACGCCCGCGTGGGCCCGGCCAGTGACTTGTTTCCGAATGTCCTCTAAGGACCCAGGGGTTCGCTGCTGCACACGAGGTCTGTGGCTTTGGGTGACTTCTGAACACGAGGAAACTCCTGTTCACCAAGCGACGGCCAGCAGAGCCGAGTCGTGCTGGCATGTGGCATACCGACCCCAAAGAAATAGAACCCCACACTCCACAGAAAAACAGCCCGGCTGCGCAGGCCACCTTCCCCTCTGCTTGAAGGAACTCGCCCTCCCACAGTCAGAACTTGGGAGCAGGACCCCTGAGCACAGCCTGGCCAGCTGCCCCGGGCTGTCACCTGAAATGGTTCTCCATCGTGACCAAGGCCCGGTTGCCGCAAGCCCTCTTGTTGTGTGGAGATAAAGGTCTGTCCTGTGGCGTGTTGCTGGAAGTGTGCTTAGGTGCTGTTTGCTCCCTTGTGTTGAGTGCTCTGAGGTTCCTTTCTGGCGAGGTCTGTTGTGGCTGCTGGACAGGTCCGAGCTGCTTCGTGCCCTCCTTTGTGCTGAAGGCGCCCACGCAGCGGGAGTGGGCCAGCCCAGGGCGTACTGGCTACATCGCCTGACACTGGTGAGCTTCTCAGGTGCGGCCTGTCCATCCCCGGGCTGGGAGGTACTTGTGGGAATCCGGGAACACGGACACACACAGCACAGTGCAGTTTGGGGTCATCTTAGCGCTCAGGTAGTTGCTCAGACTTAAGTTTTAGGAAATGCTGGTTATGCAGCAAATTCCGGACCAGCGCTGTCCAGCGCACCTTCTGTGATGAGGGAGCTGTGCTCTGCCGCATCTGCTGCAGCAGGACTGGCACCACGTGACGCTGGGAGATGGAAGGTGCGGCCCTTGGCGGCTGAGGAACCAGGGTTTGCAGTTATCTAATGTGACCAAAAAAGATCGAGTGGCTACACACAATGGGAAACTCAGCTCTAGACCAGTGGTCTCAAGCTTTTTTGATCATACACCCATCAGTTTAAAAACTTAATTAGCAGCTCATATATATTTATTTATAGTATAGGCAGCATAGCAACTCCTGGTGAGCAATACAGTGTGTTTGCCTGTAACATCCGTGTCCATGCTCATTCATAATGCCTTTGGTGCAGGTACCGCAGGTGCAGGCACCGCAGGTGCGCAGTGTGGTCCAGGGGCTCACGTCAGCCTGCGTCTGCTGCAGCTTCAGCTCTGCCGGTTCCCACGCTTGGACCGGGGCTGGTGGTCGTCACTCCAGCTGCTCCTCAGGCTCCTGGCAGAGGAGGCTCGGTGGTACTGGGACAGAGATGAGTGCACTGACATCAGACACGCTAGGGACGATGTGGACACTGGGCATCGTTATGGGGTGAAGTGGGCGGAGGAGGAGTCCTGGTTTCGTCTTCCAAACTCAACGTGGGTCACCTCACTCGTCCCACGGGCTGCACACCCCACTGTGGAGCCTCTGCTCTGCCCGAGTGTGAGATGCCCGCGCAGAGCTCGCTCAGAAGACGGGGCCAGGGTGAAATGATGGCCTTAGAACCTCAGAAAATGGGCACTTGAGCCTGTGTGAGGCTGGTTCCAGTGCGACCTGAAATGCTGCAGTGAGAGTCTTGTCGACTGCAAGACGCTGAAAGGTCTTCTTTGTCAGAGGCCTGGAGGAAAAGGTGCCAAGACACGGTCAGATCCCAGGCCGAGCGCACCAGGCCCTGCCCGCACTGTGCTCTTCTGAGTTCCCTTTGAGTCGTTGCTGACGAGTGGGGGGCGGGGGGCTCCAAGAAGAAAGGGTTATAAGAGAAAGCTTGCTGAATCCTCACGTGTCTGTGTCAATGCAGCCACCAGGGCCGAGGGGTATTCCGTTCTGTTTGGCCTTTGACAGCAGCCTGATATTCGGGACTCGGCTGAGAGCCTGGCCAGCAGTGTCTTTGGACACACAAGACATTGAACTGAGACGTTCATTCAGCTACAGTGTTGGAGTTTCTCCCATGCACACTTTTTCTGACTTATTTTAAAGATTAAACACCAAGATTTTATTACATTTCTAAATACAGATTAAAGATTTCCCCTTGTCCGAGTTATAAAATGACATTGAAAGTCCAGTATGTGATAAAATTACGCTACTGGTTTGCTTAGATCAGCCAGTTTCCCAGTTGGACCCAGCGCACACCCAAGCCAACGGTTTCCTTTCTTCACCCCGTCTCCATCCGTAGTCTTCGTTTTGAGTGGTTTTCGGATACCTGGTATCCTATTAACATGGCAGGGCTTGTGAGCAAGCGGCCCCGCAGTTCTGGCCCTGGCTTGGAGCAGAGGTGCCGGTGGCAGACTGGCCTCTGCTGAGAGGCCAGGCCACTTCCCGCTCTCCTTAGGCCCTATACCCCTGTGGGCGCTTGACGGGCTGTGTCTGGGTCAGGTTGCCTGGGTCACGCTTTATAAAACCTAAAAACGGGCTTCCCTGGTGGCGCAGTGGTTGAGAGTCCGCCTGCCGATGCAGGGGACACAGGTTCGTGCCCCGGTCCGGGAAGATCCCACATGCTGCGGAGCGGCTGGGCCCGTGAGCCATGGCCGCTGAGCCTGTGGGTCCAGAGCCTGTGCTCCGCAACGGGAGAGGCCACAACAGTGAGAGGCCCGCGTACCGCAAAAAAAAACCCAAAACCTAAAAACCTGTTTCCTTTCTTTTCAGTTTGAAGAAGGTGAGGAAGGAGAGGAGGAGGTAAGACATGGTTTTCGTGAGACATCATTCCCCGAGGTTGCTTTAGGCCTTCTCTGTTTGAGTGGATGAAGGTTATGAAGTCAGGGGACCACTTTAGACTCGTCTCGTGGGAAGCTGCCTTTGAAGCTTTCAGCCCTATTGAGTACTACGGAAAGACACGGCAGATGGGTAGCAGTGTCCAGTTTGACCCTGCAGTTGGCTTATGAAAATGCATCTTAGAAAATAACCATTTAGCAAACCAAATCCACTTTTTCAGCAGTATGTTTATTTCAGGGTTATTTGCTAGAACAAGAAGTGTCCAAAGGAGGGGATTTAAAGAAGTATGGCTAGCAATGATTGTAATTGCTTTCCTTCAAAATCAGAGTATTGCTTTATTTGTGGCTGGTGGATCCACAAGAACTTAAGTCCTGTCTGTTCAACTAGCTCTCACTCCTTTCAATGCAGGAATTAGAAGGTGATGAGGAGGGAGAAGATGAGGACGATGCCGAAATTAACCCCAAGGTTAGTTATTTGGGGCTTCCCACGCCTGTGTATGCTACACTGTGGACCTTTTAAAACACGTTGCCCACTTTGAGGTAGTGGTGTTACAAATATGTACCTGTCATTCTCTAATTAGAAAAGTTAAAATGCACCAGGAAAATACTTGAATGAGGAGCTATTTAGACACCTGGTGTATAATTTGAGTGTTAAGTATGAGTACTAAACTGCTTTCCCAAGCTATATCTCATTTGTATAAACTTGTTCAGTAGAGCAGCTTTACATTCCATAACTTTAATTCTTTTAAGATAATGATTTAACTGACAACATGAATAAACTTTTTTGTTTTGTGTGTTTGTTTTTGGAAAAGGTACAGAGACGGGACTTGGTGGGGGGCTTGTTTTGTTTTGTTAATGATAGGATAATGGAGTTGTAGGCATAATTTTACAACTGTACATGGGCTGAGAATACTCAAAAGACATGTCTCAATAGCTCAGATATTTGAAATAAATTAGGAAGCTTTGCAAAAAACAAAACAACCAATTAGGATGAGTGGGCAGTCCCATTAATTTTACGCCTGTCTTGAGTTTTTACTTACGGACTCAGATGAGCGTACATCAGGGACTTTGCCACTTGACACATATTTTAAATACAGAACTGTTCTAACGCTGTCCTGAAGCTGTAATTGCTCACGTGAAATTTATAGTTCATCTGACTCTTAGGACCAAATGTATCACAGGCTGTCAGAATACTAACATTACTTGGCATTGTAGAATCTTTCTCTCTATTTAAGTAGACGTTGTTTGTTTGTTTGTTTACCCCCGTTGTGCCTGAAGTGGACTGTGCACTAAGCTGTCATTGTGTAGCTGGGTCTGATCACTTTATAGCACCAGATGTTCCTATGAATGCATGCTTACAGCAGTAGTTCCTTCTGGGGAAGAATTCATGGTGGGTTTAAATCCTCACTGTGCCTTATAGATACTGCTCTGGGAGTGGGCTCGGGCATGTTCATGTTTTCAAAGCCAGCCTGTCTGTTGGGGCGTCGCCGTATGGACGGCGCACCTGTGCTCAGTTCCTGAGCTGCGAGCCTAGGACCCTGCCTTGAGTGGATCGCCCTTCACTGTCGGGTAATAATAGAGCCGCGCCGTGCCCGGTCCCAGGTGTCTGTATCTGGCTGTTCTTCTGCGCTTGGGGGGCGCTGATGCACACGTTCACGGTGGGGTTTCTAGAGCAGAGATGGCTGGTTACCGTGTCCACTGCTGGACTCAAGTGCCCTGTCTCTGGCTGCTCTGTTCCTCATTTCTTGTTGTTTCCTCCTGTTGTCCGTCCTCTCTCTCCCCTTGCCAAACCTTCTGTCTCCTCTCACGTCTGGGTTTTCTAGAAGAGAATTCTCACCAAGTGATTACAGATAGCTTAACAGAAAGTAGAGACATGTCAGTAGTAAGCCTTCGTGAAGCCTTCGGTCTGTTGTGTTGGTTGGGAGTGGGCGAGGTGCCTGAGGAGGGCCCCTCAGTCAGCCATGTGCAGTCGAAATGCCCTAGTCCCGTCCCCTGGGGTCGTGACGTGACACTTCTGTTCCTCCATGTGCACCTCCTCAGAGGGCGCAGTCACATCACAGTCTGTACAAGCACAGGAAGATCAGGAAGAAGTGTTGCGGTATTAAAGGTACAGATCTGGGTGTTGAGGTTTCCCATCTCAAGGTCGATATTTTTGCAGCCCTTTGTATCATGAGAAATGGTGGCTCTTTCCTCCTGTATAATTTTGTGCATTTCATTTTCTTTCATGCTGACAGTTCCTTTTAATTTTTTTCCCCATTTAGGTGTAATTTTTGTCTGTTAATCATTCATACGTTTCTAGGTAAGGTGGAATTCCATTCATTCCTAACTTCCAAACTTCTGGTCTGTGCTTTGTAGCAATGCCATGTTGTCGTGACTCGGTGGAGCGTCTGGGCGCACTCAGCACGTGCTGGCCTGGACAAGGGCTTTCTGAAGAGCAGTGTTTTTGTGCAGGTGTCTGTCGTGTGTGCTTTTAAAACCGACAGAAACCACGTCTGGCTCCTACTTGCTGAGCCCAGTGTTTGTCGCTGACCAAGTAACAGAGATGTAACTGGTGTGAAAGCTTTGTTGGTGATGGGGCTGCCGCCCCCCTCCCCACACCCCCCACACCCGGGAAGAGGACAGAACAAGAGGGCCCTGGGACCAGGATGCACAGGTCCCCCAGCCATGCTGGCCTCAGCAGGACGAGGTCTGCTGCCAGCTGTGATTCTTCTCGACGTGTGTCTATTGCTTGTTTATACTTTTTAAATTCAGGTGCTACGCAGACCAATAGATAATAAAGGGGTAACTTTAATGCGCCAGGATCTTCTCTCTCAGAAGCTGCCGGCACCAGTTTTCACATCAGCGCTAGTAAGTGCTGTCAAGGTTGCTGAGGAGTGTACTGCTCGAGTAAGAAAAGGACCTGTTGTAGGTCCAAGTGAGCGTTGCAAGTCCCAGGAGCCGCCCTGTCCCCCTCTGGGGGTCATGGGTCCTCGTAGCTCTGCCCCAGTCATGAAGTCCCTCTCGTACGACACCGTCGGCTTTTGTGGGGCACCAGAGGAGGGTGCAAACAGGAGAGCCTGTGAGAAGCCAGGGCGGCAGTGTTAGCATCTAGGAGAGAGCAGGGGCTGCCCGCGTTGAGCTAAGCAGGCCAGCGGGTGGCAGCGGCTCCTGGGAGAGCAGAGCTGTGTCTCTGCACCGGAGAGCCGTGGTCTGGGGGTCTGTGAGCCCCATGCCTTCGAGGGTCCATCTGCATCGCCTTCCTGTCTTACTCGGGCGGCTGGCTTTCTTAGAAGACTAACGGGCAGGTGGGCAGACTTGGGCTAAAGGAAGCATTTTAATTAGATGAAGTGAATGTACACCTGGGATCTTTTCTGTTTTAAAGGGTCAGATCTGATCATTTAGAATTGTGTCTGCGTACTGTCTGATTCCTGCTGCCCTGTGTGTCTGAAGAACGTGTCAGCCAGGCTGGTTTGGCCCGAAGCCCCACTGCTCCCCACCCTGCCCGTGACTGCGAAGCATCCATAAATGGTCCAGCCTGTACCTCTGGGCGAGGAGGACTCTTCTGTGGCAGAACCACAGCCGTGCCGTCTCGCCTGTGTCGTCAGGCGCCCCGTAGAGGGGGTCGTGTCATGGGCTGTTGGGCAGGCGCTCGGGCCTCAGGCCCCCAGCCCTGAGGCCATGGTGGTGGCGTGTGCTTGCTACCAGCAGTGCAAGCCCTTCTTTTCAGTGCCCGCCCCCACCAGGCAGGGTGTTGACTGTTAGTTTGTGCCTTTGAAGCACCGACTCCCGTCCCTTGACGAGCGGCAGCATGAGAGACTGGGCTTCCAACAGCTTCGTGCCGTGGGGCAGAGGGCGCTCGGGTTAGTGCAGTGTTGCTCTGCCCTCTGTCACGGGCCGAAACTGTGGTGTCCCGGTGATGAAGCTCACATGCGTGGCTCCAGGCTTCTGCGCTGGTGCCAGGCTGGGCTGCACGTGGCCCTCGGGAGGTGGGATGCTGGTGACAGCCCAGCCCTCTGCTGCCTGGCAAGCCCCACCTTCTGCCTCCTGTCTAAACACAGCATCCCCACCCGGCTCCCACCCTCACAACAGCCCGTCCTGGTCTTGGTTTTGGCGAGGACCCTTCCCTTTAGCAGTCTTCAGCACCCAAGGAAGGAGTTCGTTGTCAACAGATGATTGATGCCTTCTCCTGGTTAAAGATAGATGTGATGTCATGAGACAGCACAGTGTAAGCCGTGTGCCGCTCTGCATTCATGGCGTCCTGTGCGTCCCGCGTATGTGTTTACCCAGAGGGTGTAGAGCAGCAAGCCCGCCGCCCTGTGCCGCCCGCCCCGCCATACCACAGCCACGGCACCGTCCCACTCCCTCAGCTTCAGCTTCTCCCACCTCCTTCCTTTCTGCAGATCCAGTTATGGAAACCCACACACTTCTCCCCTGTCCACAAAAGGCTGCACGCCACTGCCCCAGCCCCTGCCAGTGCTGTCCCAGTCCTGGGGCACCTCTGCACCTCCCCAGCGAGCCTGGGGCCGGCGTCTGATCCCCCTGGCCACAGTCTGGGCCACCTCCAGGTCTCCCCTTGAGATGACAGAGTTTGAGTTAGGTCTCTTTGAACTAGGATTTCTGGTCGGGGTATTTGTTTTGGTGCCCAGGCTCTTTCTTCAGCAGTGTTTCCGGTGAGCGTGTGATGGGCCGGTGCCATTGGCCCAGTGCTGGGCAGTGCTGGGCCGAGACCCGGACCAGACCTGGAAGTCCCAGCCTGTCCCTGTGCTGTTACGCTTACGAGCAGGGAGCGTAGCCCAGGGCCCCAGATGATTGTTCTGTCTGTATGCACCCTTTACACGTCATCTTTTTCACCCCTTAGGTGTGGTTTCCCGAGGAATGACCTGTAGCCCAGCTTATTCCATGCAAGGTGTCAGTTGTGTTATCCCAGATGGTTCTTCTGAACTGTGTGGTGCGGGTTTTTCTTGAGACTCCGTAGATGTGCCAAGTTGTATTCAGAGTAATGTCATCTTCGCAGCCAAGACCATAGGTTACTGACGAGTAAATTCATTTGCTAAGAAGTACTGGTGAAATCGTTACCTGTCGCTCAGGCTGCTTTTGTCCTCCACACAGCATTCATGGGGTCGCTAAGTGGGCTTCAGCGACAGGAGACGCAGCTGCCGACCACACGGAAGTGCGTCTGCTCCTTGTCTCGCTCGCGCCTTCTCTGAAAGGACGGAACTCCCAGCCGAGGGGGCTCCTGGGAGGACTGGGGCCTGGCTGTGGAGTTCTTGGTGGCCTCTCGTCCTTTGTCGGGGCGCCTCGGGCCAGGGCGGGAGGGGCTTTGCTTCAGGGCCCGGCCTGGGGGCAGGTGTGCTCCAGGCAGCGCCCGCAGCCTTGTTCACCTCGGGGATGGAGGGGAGCCAGCGCTGTTCCCCGCCTGCTCACCCCAGAGCCCAGGCGCCTGCCAGCTTTGGAACGAGGGCACTGCTGTGCGTTTAATTACTGTCTGCCACCCGAGGACCTCCCTCACCCGGAGACCCTCCTGCCGAGAATTAGAATGTCTTTATACAGAGAGAGGCAGCCCCGCTGTGACCTTGTTACTGGGAAGTTAGCTGCTTATTTGTTACTATTTTTAAAGTGTATTTGTAGTGGCCATGTTTTCAGCAAGAACGAGTGAATACTTGAGTCTTTGTTTTCGCTGTTGGTTGGAGATGCCTGGTTGATGGAATTGCTCGGTTCTCTACAAGTCTTGTTCTCTCTCGTTGACAGAAGGAGCCCAGCCAGCCCTCGGAGTGCAAGCAGCAGTGAGGCGCCGCTCGCTCGTGTGGACAAGTGCTTACGCCTAACTTGTTTTCAAGTGCATGATTTTCACTTTAACTTCTCCTTTTACTTTATTATTTTGCTTAACCTGTACAGTGGCAACTCAGATGCATTTCAGAAATAGGAGGTTTAATTCCAGCAGCACGCTCTACGGCCTTGGGCGCAGCTCAGTGGACCCGCCCAGCCCTGCCTTAGGGAGGGCCTCGCAGACCGCTGGGGCGGTGGGGTGGGGGCGGATCACTTGACGCTGGGGGCACGTGTCCAGGGCGCAGTTCCAAGGCGTGTAGATCCAGTTCACCCCTCCCGCCATCAGACGGGATTCCTGTTTCTTTGGAAGAAACCCACATGCAGTTTCCAGTTGTCTCGGGAGAGCCGGCCGGGGTTGGCACTCATCCTGCTCGCCCTTTGGCTTTATTTTCCTCGGGGCTGGGGTGAGGGTCGCGGCGCCCACTGAGCCTGAGGCGCGAGCTTGTGTGATTCATCTCGTATTTATTTCTCTCTCACGCTTGTGAGGGCTTGGGAGGTGAGCTGTCCTTCGAGTTTCTGAGACCCTGTGGGCACCAGAGACCCGGTGCCCCGAGCAAGAGTTGGGGGTCCGCCCGCAGGGAAGAAGGCCTCCCTCCCGCCAGCCGTGGGCCAGGGCTGGTTCTCGGGACGCACGGACCACGCTTGGCGCTGAGGACGGGGGGGTGGGGCTATGGGCAGAGCCAGGGTTTGCCAGGCTTCGCGGGGAGGGGCTCGGGCAGGAAAGTACAGCTTTCCCACGTAGTGTGTAAAATGTCTTGCTTTCTCGGTAGCTCCCGTTTCTCAGCCTCACATTCACCTTGTCTTAAAAGCCCTGGGTTCCGAGCGACCCGTTCTTGGCTGGAATGTGGGTGTCGAGTGTGTGACCTCTGGCCCCAGGGGCATCCACGCTGTGGCCAGGCTGTAGACTGCTCAGCCTTACTTATGATACATTTGTAACTGAATACAGTGTTTTCAATTTGTACAGACTAGTTAGAATATTCTATTAAAGTTGTGAACTGCGAGCCCAGCGCTGTGTGTGTCTTCATTGCAGGAGGCCCGGCGGGTTGGGGCACTTGGGGCGGGTGGGGCTCAGATGTGGTTGCGCAGCCTCCCAGGCCGGGTCGGGTCTCTGGAGCCCCGGGCGTGGGCAGATCCGGGACTTCCGGGCTCCTGGTCTTCAGTTTTGATTTTGAGGCTTTAAAGCCCATCTTGAGTTGGGGCTGCAGGCCCACTTCACCTTCGGGGTGGGTCTGGGGTCCCCGGGTGGGCCCTTTGCTGCCCCGAGAGAGCGTCTGCTCCTTCCCCCAGAAGAGTCGTTTCTCCATGTGTGCGGGGCTGGGCCTTTCCGATGAGAAGGTTCCAGGAGGGACACCTGCTGCGCCATGGCCACGTTCGGCGTGTCTTCTCGCTGGTGCTCTTCTGGTGCTTGCGCCCTCCCTGCTTCCCTTCATTAGTGGGGAGACACCTGGTGCCCGGGCTCTCGCTCCAGCTGCCCATCTGGGGATCGGCCCAACCCGCATGCAGCACAGAAGCCGGTGCCCAGCTCGCCCGGTGCCTCCTGCCGGCGGGGCTGGCTTCTCCCGGGAGCGGTCAGAGAGAGCACACCGGGGGCCACGAGAAGGGCCAAGCAGGGCTTAGAAAGAAACGTGCTTTTGGGGTGTCCAGGACGACCATAGAGCCAGAACGTCGTCCACTCCTGAGGCCCCCGGGCCAGCCGGGTCCAGACCCCCCAGAGGTGGGCGGTGGTGAGCCTCTCCCGGGCCTGCCCCGACGGCCACCGAGAAGAGACGGGGGCACCAGGGGGGCCTCGTTCCTGCAGACACGCAACAAAAACCCCATCCTTGGAGGATGCTCGGAGGCCTGCACGCCCCCCACCCAGTCCCCTCAGGCCTCCAGCAGAGCTACCATCCCTGCTGACCCCGGGCCCTCAGAGTGACCGCATTTAGGACAGCGGAGTTGACAAGTACCTATGGGGTCAGATACGGTTGCACAAAGTGACGTGCGTAGGTAACTTGCAGGGGGAGAGCGGGGACAGTTTAGTGCCGGGAGCGCCTGTCCCTCTCCTGACTGTCACCAACGGGTGGCGGTGCCGGGTTCATGCCCAGGGCAGTGACCCTGCACTCAGGCACGTGCAGGGTGCTGGCGAGTCAGGTGAGAGGCTGGCTGTCTTCTCGCCGATCGGTCGGGGGCAGTGAGGGTTTGGCAGGTGGTGTGACGAGAGCCTGAGGAGACTGTTGGGGCCTCCGCCCAGCAGTCTTTGGGGCTTCAGGAGAGGAGGCGTGTGTCACCCATGTGCGAGCGGGTGGACGGTAGGTGCCGCCGCAGTTTGAGATGGCCAGGGGGTGGGGGAGGCCCTCCCTCACCCCCCAGGAGACACGATGAGTCAGGTCCCACACCCAGGGACTTCTCTGGTGGTCCAGTGGTTAAGAATCCACCTTGTGGGCTTCCCTGGTGGTGCAGTGGTTGAGAATCTACCTGCTAATGCAGGGGACACGGGTTCGAGCCCTGGTCTGGGAGGATGCCACAGCTACTGAGCCTGCACGCCTGGAGCCTGTGCTCCGCAACGAGAGGCCACAATAGTGAGAGGCCTGCACACTACAATGAAGAGTGGCCCCCGCTTGCCACAACTAGAGAAAGCCCTCGCAAAGAAACGAAGACCCAACACAGCAAAAATAAATTAATTAATAAAAAAAACTTCCTACCCCCAATATCTAAAACAAAAAGAATCCGCCTTGCAATGCAGGGGATGCAGGTTCAATCCCTGGTCGGGGAACTAAGATCCCACACAGCCCAACTAGAGAAGCCCGCGCACCACAGCGACAGACCCCGCATGCCACGACTAAATGAAAAGACCGCGATGCAGCCAAACAAACATTTAAAAAAAAACGCCCCACATCCAGGGCGGGCCTCACGGCCACAGAGGACAAGCGCACCTGCCCGCCAGTGGGGAACGCCCTCTGGGATGCGCTGGAGGAGCAGAACCTGTATGGGGAGCGCACACCTGCGTGAGCACAGCTGCGTGGGGGTTCCCAGTCAGAGGAGCTGTGTGCCTGGGGGACCCCTGTCTGCGTTCTCTGTGGGCAGCCACGTGACGTAGTGACCAGACACGGTGGTTTTCCGTCAGACCAGTGTAAACGGGGGCAGAGGGAGGGGTGTTCAGATTGCCCACATTGCGGCACCGGGTTTATTTCCCCCATGGGTAAGAAGGGTGGGCGAGGGTGCCACGCTCGCCCGGGGCGCTGGGGCCTCAGTCTGCCACTCAGCTGTTCTGGGTACACTTGGTGGTAAGGCTGCAGCACGAAGCCCTGAGGCCGTGCCCTCCCCAGCCATGCGCTGTGGCTCTGACCCCACAGCCGTGCACCTCCTGTTGGACCCTCCGGCGCCTCGGAGCGCCCTGTCTCACCCTGGGTGCTCACAGGCTCCAGGGCTCCATCAGTCCTTGCCACTTGTGCTGGAAGGTCACGGAGCGTCCAGTAGGTTTGCCCGGAGCCGTCAGCCTGGAGGCAGCGGGAGGGTGGCACTCCTGGTGGCCGGCTCTGCCTGGGAGCTGCAGCTTCCTGGGGCCCAGGCTGCTGTCACCACGGGACTGCAGCACTGCCTGCCTGCTTGGCCTCCGTCCCCACTGAGCCTCTGGACTGCCGCAAGCAGGGGAGGGCTTTGATGACCAGGCCTCCCCAGCCCTGCTTCGGGGCCCCCTCTGGGCCTGGCCTTCACGTTGCTCGTGAGGGGCCACCTCCCCTCCCATGGCCTCTGCCACCCCTGCCTGCCCCCCTCCCTGGGTTACTCTCCCCAGGCCACCCTTGTTCTGTCGCAGGCCGTAGGACCTGGTTCGATGCCTCTCCCACAGGGCCTGGGTGTTGTCTGTCACACACGCTCAAAACCAAAGGGCTGGGACTTCCCCTGGCCGCACAGCGGTTAAGAATCTGCCTGCCAACGCGGGGGGCACGGGTTCGAGCCCTGGTCTGGGAAGATCCCACATGCCACGGATCAACTAAGCCCATGTGCCACAGCTACTGAGCCTGCACTTTAGAGCCTGCGAGCCGCAACTACTGAGCCCTCGTGGCACAACTGCTGAGCCCGCGCACCTAGAGCCCGTGCTCCACAACAAGAGAAGCCACCGCAGTAAGCCCGTGCACCACAATGAAGAGCAGCCCCTGCTCGCTGCAACTAGAGAAAGCCTGCGCACAGCAACGAAGACCCAGTGCAACCAAAAATGAATAAATTTATTAAACCCAAAAAAACCAGGGACGACTCCAGGCCCAGCTGCCGTTCTGAGTCCCCCCCACCCCCGCCAGCCTCAGCATCCCGACTTCCGGGTGGCGTGTGGCCTAGTGCCCCGGCCTTGGGGAGCAGGGGCTCCCTGCCAGAAGGTGGGGCGGCAGCAGTGTCTGTACCCCACATGGACTAATCCTTGGCCATAGGAGCCCAGCAGCACGGGGCTCTCGAAAGCATCACCTGAGCAGGGCCTTCCATGATGTATCTCTGACTTCCAAACCTTCCAGGCCGCACGGTGACCACGGCTGTCTGGGGGTGGGCCTGGGGCTGCCCAGGGCGCTGTCTGGGTTGCGTGTTCACTTGTCAAACTCCTCAAAGTCCCTCACGTGGGGACGTTTGGTTTTACGTATGTAAATTATACTTTAGTGAGGCTGATTTTTCAAAAGCCCCACAAGTTGGGGAGATTCCACTTAAAACTCTGGTTTCCCCTTTAGGAGTTGGGAGTTGCGGCACCTAGGGCCTGGGGTGGCGACAAAGCCTCCCGGCCCCTCCGCCCCCGGTGGCCAGCCTGCTCTGCTGGTCCATGGCTCCCACTTCGTGGGGCAGGGGCCAAGCAGAGACCCGACCCCCCTTCCAGGGCCCCGCAGTCCCCCCAGGCCCAAGGGCTCCCTTCTTTTTTTAAAATTTGTTTATGTATTTATTTTTAGCTGTCTTGGGTCTTGGTTGCTGCGAGGGCTTTTCTCTAGTTGCAGCGAGCAGGGGCTGCTCTTGTGCGCGGGCTTCTCATTGCGGTGGCTTCTCTTGTGGAGCACGGGCTCTAGGCACGCAGGCTTCAGTAGTTGTGGCATGCGGGCTCAGTAGTTGTGACATGTGGGCTCAGTAGTTGTGGCTCACGGGCTTAGTTGCTCTGTGGCATGTGGGATCTTCCCGGACCAGGGCTCGAACCCGTGTTCCCTGCATTGGCAGGCAGATTCTTAACCGCTGTGCCACCAGGGAAGCCCAAGGGCTCCCTTCTTTAAGCCCAGGCTGTCACGGGCCAAGCTGGGCTTCTGCTCCCTGAGCGCTTTTGTGGGGGCCGTGGGGGGTGGGGTGGGGTTCCCACCAAGCCTTGCCCCAGAGGTGGGCAGCTGGGCTGTCTTGGTAGTGCTGCTGACCTCTGACCTGCCCTCTGCTCAGACTGTCTCCTCCACACCTCCCAGCACCGCTCCCCGCCACCGCCCGCCTCTGAGTGCCCAGTGGGCTGGGCAACGCTGGGTGGGCTGCAGAGGCCCGGTGGGAGAGGGGCCTCCAGCTGCATCCTGAGGGAGCCCCTGGCCACCAGCCAAGCCCCTGGTTGCAGCAGGGGCTGTCTCCGGGGCTGGGGCCCTGCTGGAGGGCACTGTCCCAAGCGTGGGTGGCCCCTGGCTCCCTGCCAAAGGCCTGCCCGGCGCAGCCACACCTGGGCTTTTGGCCCCTGCTTCCGAGTCCTTCCGAGCAGCTTCCTTCCTGTGGAGGCGGACACGTCCTCCCAGCCCCAATCTCAGAGGGCAGAGCCCCGTGGGGGGCGGGAGCCCATGACCTCAAACCCAGCCATTCGGGCCCCCGACAGCAGGACCTCCAGAGCCCCTCCCCGGCCCTGGCTGAGCTTTCGGTCCCTCTGAACTTGGTGTGATTCTCCGGGTACCTTGTCTGCCTGGGATCCGCCTCACAGCCTCGGAGCCTGGGACCCTCTGTCTGTGGATTCCCACTGGACGCTGACCCTGGAGACCCCCTTCAGCCCTGCCTCCTCAGGCCGCAGGGAGGGTGAGGCTCGCACACACCCCGAGGCC